ACCCTCACTTCATCCTCCAAGATGAATACAGGGCATAGACTAGTTTCCAGTCACAAATATCCCTTTATGGAAATATGTTAACTTTGTTATTACCATATAAGACAATAGACACTTAAAATGCATAAGACTTACAGCCTCTTCAGTTCTCAGACACTTTTATCTCCTCCCACCTGCACCAAGCTCCGATGGGATTATGGCATCTGCAGGCCTCCCACAGTAGAGATGGTGACCCTGGGAGACACTTCATAAGCTCAGGACCAACATTCCCATCCAGAATGGGCTCTTGCTTTTATCTTTAAGGGAACTTTTCATCATGTATATGAATTCTGCCTCCTACCTGTAATGCAAAAATAACTGATTTTAAAAATAGTAAACGTACTCCACACCCTCCCACACTTTTCTTATTTGGTAATTTTTCTTCCAGTTCACAGACTTTGTTTCTTTGTTTTATTTAGAACTGAACCAAGGAACAGCTTCCCAGAACAGATATCAATGGATTTGGGCAGGTCTTGCAATTGTTGTGTTTCTGATTTTGGCAGTAAGCTGTTATGCAGTCTATAACAGGTCCAACACAGGTAATATCTCATGAATAATTTGGGCTCTACCCCTGGGTGTTACATATCTTGTGTATTAAAGATAACATGAAAATACATGCTGCTACTGAGCACGGAAATGGATCTGAATTTTCTGGGGAGTCATTCAGAAAATGTATCAAATGCTTTATTTCTACCTAACCATTCTACTTCTAGGAATTGATCTTGAGTTAAATAACAGAGGCACACCAACATATATACGTAGACACACACACACAACACACACATTGATTGTACCATACAGCCATTTCCATTTTTATACTATTTTTAATAAGAGAACTAGTAAAATCAAATGAAAAATATGTGGATTTTTTAACAAAAAAATTTTAATGTGGCATTAAAATGATAAATAGCAGGTGGTGCCTGTGGCTCAAAGGAGTAGGGCGCCAGCCCCATATACCAGAGGTGTCGGGTTCAAACCCAACCCCGGCCAAAAACTGCCAAAAAAAGAAAAAAGATAAATAGCGTAATTTATTCAGCCTGCAAAGAAAAAAACCAGCTAAAAGAACAAAATAATGTCTTTTGTAGCAACTTGGGTGGAACTGGAGGTCATTATCCTAAGTGCCATAAACCAGGAACAGAAAATCAAATACCACCTGTTCTCACTTACATGTAGGAGCTAAGCTATGGCTGCACCTGGTTATACGGAGCGGGACAATGGATGCTGGAGACTCAGGCAGGGTGAGGGATAGAAAATTGCCTATTGGTTACAACGTACTGGGTGTGGGCATGTAAATGGATCTGAATTTTCCAGACTTCACCACTATATAATTCATCCATATAACAAAACTCTACTGCACCCCCTAAATATATTGAAATTAAAAAAACATACTGAAAAGAAGCTAAGTCTTTTTAAAAGTTGCCTTTGGAGTCTCCCCTTTCCTCACACCTCAGAAGGAAGCCTAGATACTTATGTCCTTGCTCACTACTTCCATCCCTAGGCTCTGCTCTCTCTTACTGAGCTTGGTCTACAGCTGGTGCCGATCAAAACTGCATTGATTTTATGGGTCATTTTTACAAACTAAACTTTATGCAACAAACCATACTACTTATAGTAATTTAAAATATCTTAAGATGTCATTGAACTTCTTAAAACACCTTTAGATCTTTTATTAACAGAATTTGAGTTGGAAGGGATCTGGGAAAAAATTAGATCTAGTTTATCTCTCTGTTTTACAAACGAGGACAGAGGAATCCTGGCAGTGAGCTCCAGTGCTAATTGGGCATGTGAGACAGATTTGTGTGCACCACCTAAGACCCTTAGCTAACCTCATGTCAGAAGCCAGCCTAGAAGCTTTCCTTTATTTCATCATCCTCCTGAGAAGCTCTGACTTTTCAGGCCAGTTGAGATAGATTCTATGTTCCTTTCGTATATTCTTCTGGTTGATATTAGCCTATTGACCATGCTGAAGTTAGGGGATTCGGGTTATAGCAGAAACCATTATTGAAGATAGTTTTAAGGGTGACATCAAGAGTTTCACCACTTCTAACCCTGTCATCATTTGTAGTATAGGCAGGCTAGTTCTTATCCCCTAGGTGGCCAGAAGAGATCTGGCAGACTAGTTTGTCCCCCAATGGTACTATATAATGATACTTGTGATTAAATTAGGTTCAAATTATGGGAGAGAGGGTGCCACATACACTGCTCATGAACGACAGCTTGAGTCAATTCTGCATAAGTCAATTTCCAACAGAAAGTGCATGGCACACCAGACTCTAAAGGGGAACTCAGAACACAGGGCAGTCCCCCAGGGCCAGGAGCACCTGACTTCAACCCTAAACCTAAAGGGATGTGGACAAGGGAGCACTTCCCAAAACTTAGAAGGAGAGAATCATGTAAAACCAGTTGCTTTTTAAGGAGGATAACCTTCAATTGAAAGACCATCACCAGGTCAAAGCAATTTTATAGGCAAGGAGCAGGGGAACGAATGCCTGATTTTCAGGAACCTCTAGCCCACCTTTCACAGAAACCAAAGGGCATAGCTACCCTGCTGATGGAGTCCAGCCAGGTCAGCCTCCCACAGCAGAAGAATGGCTTCTGGTTCTGGGGGCTCAGTCAGAAGATATGGGCAAAAACTCTGTCACAGTGTTGGCTACTTCCTCTGTGTGTGTGTGTGTGTGTGTGTGTGTGTAAATATGTGTGTATGTATATTCTATGGTCCTACATTAAGGTGGGTTGAAGCTGTTACACTAAAAGCCACAAAACCTTGCCTACCTCCAGCTCTCTGGCTGTGATTTCATATGACTATGGTTCATGTTCCATTTTTAAATTCTCTTTTCTACTATTTCATTTTAAAAGGTTCTTAGTCTAGGATATGTATAAAAGGGCCAGATTTTAGGTAATCCCCTGAAGGTGGACTTCCTTGAGAAATGACACATACCCCATTCTTCTCTGACCATTGTTTGCTCTCAGCCCCTCTTTGGCCATGACTTTTCCATTATTGGCAGTTGGGTAGGATCCAGGCCAATAATCCCAAAGAGCCAGGACTTGCTGGGCTGGTCAAACTGCCTTTGTTCCTCCCTATGGGAGACCATGTCATCCATACAAACTTACTGCTTTTCTGATGATGTGTTTCTATACTGAATATATATTTATGACCATCTGTTAAATGAAAGACATGAAAAGAGAAGTGACCAAGGTGATTCTAATACCATTATATTGAGGACAAGAATAAGAGAATTTCAGTGTTTACAAAGAAATTTTAAATTTCCTTTTTCTTACAGAAAGGAGCCATGTCTCTACTGATGAGAGAGCTAGCAATACTGATAATGCAGAAGAAAATATGGTAAGACATAATTCTCTATACCCAGCCATTTTTAGTATAAAGACTCTACTATAAAAAGGTAATTGAAGTTCTGACTGATTCACATATCATCACAGAAGACTTTTATAGATTAAAAAAACAGCAGGAAGGATTGCGAGATAATATAGCAAGAAAAAATACAATTAGGTTTTTCCTCATGTCTATAATTAAACAGGCTCTACTTGCCTAAATAAGTGGTTGCTCTTCTCATCTCCTGTTGCTATTTGTAGAAAAGATCTGAAGTGGCATTGAGCAAATCCAGGTGACAACATGCTTATTCTTATGGGAGCATGGAACATGAGATTGTGTAGAAGGGGACAGAAACCCAAATACAGATGTAGTGAAGGACCAGCCCTAGTTTCTGCACAGATATAGACAGTTGACCGTCCATACTTTTCTAGCCACTTCTAGGCTCCTTGGTGAGTGACAATTCTCTTACAGATTAGTTTGATTGTGTACTTCCTTTTTGCTACCTTCCTTTTATTTGTGTATTTCATTACTCCTATAAATAAGGGCTAGAAGTAGGGTAAACTTTTTTCCACTGTTAACACCTCCAGGGAGATTAAAATTAACCCATAAGACTTAGCTACTTATTTTATAACTGTCTCATGGATCTTTAATTATAAATTACTCAATTCACCACCATACCCCCTCCCTGAAAAAGACCGCTAGTATCAAACAGACATTTAAAGTTCATTTTTCTTGGTTCTAGGCTCTTTCCCAATATCCATCCACTACAGGAAATGAAGACTGTGACAACACATGACAACACATTAATATCCAGTGACTTCGTCTCCCCTTTCTTCACTGTAATCCCAGGCAAAAATTTGTCAGACCAGGCAATTTTACTACTATAAGGACTTGGGACCATTTTTTTTTTTATGGTATCACATTTACTCTTCAAGACAACATTCACAGATCTCCTACCTACAATAAGGGTACAAACACCTGGATGTTAAGTTCCAGTTCAACTTAGAAGAGTACTACCTCATTCGTCAGCCCAGGAGGGTACACTGAGGCTTCCACCAAGAACTCGGAAGAAATGTCTGTCACTAGGAGCCGATTCAAAATGACATCTACTTGCTTTGTTTGTTGTCTCTGTAGCTGTACAGAAGCTTTTCAGTTTAATTAAATCCCATTTATTTATTTTCTTTTGTTGTTGCAATTACCATGGACATCATCTTCAGAAAGCCTTTCCCCTGGCCAATATCTTCAAGTGTTTTCCCCACGCTTTCTTCAAGGATTTTTATTGCTTCATGCCTTAGATTTAAATCTTTTGTCCATCTTGAATCAATTTTGTCCATCTTGAATCAATTTTTATAAGTAGTGAAAGGTGCAGGTCCAGTTTCAGTCTTTTACATGTTGTTGTCTTGTTCTCCCAGCACCATTTATTGAATAGGGATTCTTTTCCCCAGTGTGTGCTCTTGTTTAGTTTATCAAAGATATGGTGGCTGTAAGATGTTAGCTTCATCTTATGGTTTTCTATTCAGTTCCAACTGTCTATGTCTCTCTTTATGCCAATACCATGCTGTTTTGATCACTGTGGACTTGTAATATAACCTAAAGTCTGGGAGGGTGATGGCCCAGCTTTGTTTTCATTACTAAGAATTGCCTCGGCTATATGGCTTTTTGGGGGGTTCCATACAAAACAAAGAATAATTTTTTCCAAATCTTGAAAGTACGATGTTGGTGTTTTAATAGGGATTTCACTGAATCTATAGATTTTTGGGGAAGTATAGACATTTTAACAATGTTGCTTCTTCCCACCCATGAGCATGGGATGGTCTTCCATTTAATATCTTCTATTTCTTAGTGTTTCATAATTTTCTTTGTAGAGGTCCTTCACCTATTTTGTTAAGTATATTCCTAGGTATTTCATTTTTTTGGAAGCTACTGTGAAGGGAATTACATCCTTGACTAGCTTCTCAATTTGACTATTGTTGGCATATACAAGGGCTACTGATTTATGGACAACCTTCAGAATAGGAAAAGATATTTGCTTATTATAGATCAGACAAAGGCTTGATAAATAGGATCTACAGAGAGCTCCAATTAACCAAAATAAAGTTAACAATCCCATATATTACTGGGCAAGAGACATAAATAGAACCATCTCTAAGGAAGACAGCTGAATGGCCAACAAACATATGAAAAAATGCTCATTGTCCTAATCATCAGAGAAACGCAAATCAAAACCACCCTGAGATATCACCTAACCCCAGTAAGATTGGTCCACATCATGAAGTCCCAAAGCTGCAGATGCTGGAGTAGATGTGGAAAGAAGGGAACACTTTTACACTGCTGGTGGGACTGCAAACTAATACACCCTCTTTGGAAAGAAGTATGAAGAATCCTCACAGTTTCTAACTCAAATTAGACCTCCCATTTGAACCTGCAATCCCACTACTAGGCATCTACCCAGAAGAAAAATCATTTTATCATAAGGTTTTTTGCACTAGATTGTTTGTCACAACTCAATTTACATTGTTGAAACATGAAAACAACCTAAATGCCCATCAACTCAGGAATAGATAATAAATTCTGGTGCATGCACACCATGGAATACTATTCAGACATAAAAAAGATGATGACTTCATATCTTTTGTAATATCCTGGATGGAGATGAAATACATTCTTCTTAGTAAAGTATTACAAGAATGGAAAAGCAAATATCCAATGTACTCAATACTAATATGAAGCCAATAAAGAGCTAATGCATGCCCAGATAGGAGAACTCATTTCAAGTCAGGGACAGGGGTAACAGGGGAGGAGGAGGGTTTGGGGTGTTCTCACTGAATGGGCACGGGGTGGAGGCATTCAGCAGACATTTTGTGTGGGGGACATAACCACAAGAGAGACTCTACCTAACAAAATATTTGATCTGGTGGTTTCTACCCTCATATTAATCTGAAATTTACTTTTCAAAAAAATGTCAACTGATAATGAGCAGGAGAACAGGTAGGTATAGAAGTCACCTTCATGAATAAAGGTAAAAAAACAGGGCCTAGAAACCAAGACAACTTAAGAAGATATTTTACTCTAGTTTTACATAAATGGTTATATCAGAGTAATCAACTAGATTTAGTGTGATGAATCTTAAGGACCCCAATGAGTAAGAATGTCAGTATTTGCAAGAGCACTTAGGGAAAGAGGCCAAAATCAACCTAAGAATTGACATTTCTCAAGTTGAGTTACGCCTGACAACACCCGGCCTTCATAGTGTAGTGATTCTAGTCATGAAGATACTTTGATAAACTCTTCTAGTTCAGTTGACATATTGTTAATCAGCTTTGGGATAAATTTAGATTTCCAAATTTTTATGCAAGGAGGAAAAGAGTCCTGAAGACTTGATGATACGTTCTCCTTAATTTTAATCATCAGCTTATGTAGAAGAAATAATCTATTGTTAATGCTGCTTATGAAGTTGTCACTATAACCAGGCTTTTTGTGACTTAGTTGATCAAGATTTTGAACCTATAGTTTATTGGTGGAAACAAACTCTGAATTGGGGTATAAGTGCCATCTGGTCTAATTTTCTCCATCAGCTGACCTCAGAGTCACAATTCTGTACTTTGTACATGATTTTGTTAATGCTAAGTTTTTGCTACAATGTTATGACAGGTACTCCATTGAGATCTGCTTCCTCATAATCTTGGACACAATTTAAATAAAAGGAAACAAGTGAGATATCCAACTCTAATTTATTAAATATTGTATGATGTGTTCCCAATGTGAAGTTTGCTGATAGAGTGTGTGGCTGGGTGTGGAGAAATAATAGCATTCCGATTTCAGGACTGGCAGTGTGACAACAGCAAATTTCTAAGAACCGGCTTAGGATATAGAGATGTTTTCTATATGTAAATATTGGCTTCTCAAAGGGTAATTTCAAACTTATTTTTATGAAGAGTTTTTTAAAATTGGTATTCCAGAAAAAAAATCTTAAGTATTTTAGATTATCAGTTAAGTATTTTAACTTAATACCAGTTATTTTAACTTAATACTAGTATTTTCTCACTGGTTTGAAATGGTAAGATGGAGGCCACCAATTTAGGTACAGCATGACAGATACCCCAGATAGTTCACTCTGTGGCTGTGACATCCACTCCACCCCCTATCACAAAACTTGAATTTGACTCATCTTTCTCAGAATGGACCTGATCTGGGGCAGGATCAGCCTTAATCTGAGCCAAACCTGGCAACTGTAGCCCTCTTGCCACTGGACTGGCTCAGCACAGGCCTGTAAAGAAATTTGATCCGGGCTCGGCGCCTGTGGTTCAAGTGGCTAAGGC